TGTACCACCACTTTTTTAAAAATTTTTTTATTGATTATGCTATTACATTTGTTCTATTCCCCCTTTCATTCCCCTCCACCCTACCCCCCCATCCCCACCATTACCCCCCCTTTAGTTTATGACCATGTGTCTCAAGTCCTTTAGATTCTATATTTCCCATGCTATTCTTGCCCCCCCTTCTATTTTCTATCTACTGTCTGTGCTACTTATTTTCTGTCCCTTCTCTCTCCTTCTCCTCCTCCCACTCCCCTGTTGCTAACCCTCCTTAAGATCTTCATTTCTGTTTCCACTCCTGATCTGCTGTCCTTTTAGTTTGCTTTCGTTTTAGGTGTGGTTGTTAATAACTGTGAGTTTGTTGTCCTTTCACTGTTCATGTTTCTTTAACTTCTTTTTCTTAGATAAGTCCCTTTAACATTTCATATAATAAGGGCTTGGTGATGATGAACTCCTTGAATTTGATCTTATCTGAGAAGCACCTTATCTGTCCTTCCATTCTAAATGAAAGTTTTGCTGGATAGAGCAATCTTGGTTGTAGTTTTTGGATTTCATGACTTGGAATACCTCTTTCCAGCCCCTTCTTGCCTGTAAGGTCTCTTTTGAGAAACCCACTGACAGTCTGACGGGGACTCCTTTGTAGGTGATTGTCTCCTTATCTCTTGTTGCTTCTAGGATTCTCTCCTTCATTTTAATTTTGGCTAATGTAATTATGATGTGCCTTTGTGTGTTCCTTCTTGGGTCCAACTTCTTTGGGACTCTCTGAGCTTCCTGGATTTCCTGGAAGTCTATTTCCTTTGCCAGATTGGGGAAATTCTCCTTTATTATTCAAATAAGTTTTCTACTGGTGGCTGTGCCTTTCCCCCTTCTGGTACCCCTATAATTCGGATGTTGGAGCGTTTAAAGATGTCCTGGAGGTTCCTAAGACTCTCCTCATTTCTTTGAATTCTTGCTTCTTCACTCTTTTCTGTTTGGCCATTATTTGCTTTCTTCTGGTCCACTCCATTGATTTGAGTCCCAGTTTCCTTTTCATTGGTATTGGTTTCCTGTGCAATTCCATTCATTTCAATTAGTTTCGCCTTCATATATTTGTCTAATTTGTGGCTATAATCAACCAGTTCTGTGAGGATCCTGATGACCAGTGTTTTAAACTGTGCATCTGAGAGTTTTGCTATTTCTTCATCGCTTAGATCTATGGGCTCTGGGGCTTTGAGATCTTGCAACATTTTTGGTCTGTTCTGGCCCTTTAAGTGTGAGAAGCGGCGCCTTGGACTCCCAGGTCGCTGGGTTATGAAGCTGTATGTGGAGGTGGGGTCAGAGCAGGGAAATGGCGGCGCCCTCCACTGCCGCTTGCCGTGGCGGTCCAATCGCCCACTCCCTCTCCTGTCCGCCAGCGCACAAATGCGCGACCACAGTCAACACGCAGCACCTCTCCCCCGCTGTCTCTCCCGAGGTCGCTCGCCTGGTCGCTCGCTCAGTCGCTCACTAGGTCCAACCCTGCGTCTGGATTCTGCGCGTCTGGACTCCACCTGACCGAGACCTCCTGTGCAACCCTGCTTCACCAGCTGCTGGTTTCGGCTGGTTTCGGCTGGTTTCGCCCCTTACCGGTCAGGCCAAAGAATTTGTTGTTAACAGACTTCCGAAAAGTTCAATTTTCCGTGTTCTGGCTGTGTTTTCTGTTGCTAATATTTAGTTGTCTCTAAACTTGGTTGTGTGAGAAGGTACGGCATATCCACCTATGCCTCCATCTTGGCGGAAGTCCTGTACCACCACTTTTTTTATCCACTCTTCTAATGATGGGCGCTAGAATTGGTAAGAGATTTGCTGAAACTTGAAGTATGGTATTGAAAAAGGAAAACCATGACCTTTTTTTTAGCTTGTCTGTTTTATGTGAGGTCAGCCAGAATTGTTGGTCAAGTGGACTATCAGTGGGACCCAAGGTGACCTCATGGAATGTTTTTTCTTTTCAAAGCAAACTCACTTCATTGATCTCTGATTTAGGTTTAGACAAGTCTCTTCCCTTCCTAGTTTCTCCTGCAAAGCACGGAAATTAGATTGATTTCTGCTCCACTTTTTGGCTTCATTAGGTATAATGAATGCCATTAGGTATAATACAGGATATACAGTTAAGTCGGAATTTAAGATAAACTGAATAAATTCTTTTTTTTAATTTTATTTATTTTTTATTGACTATGCCATTACAGTTGTTCTATTCCCCCCTTCATTCCCCTCCACCCTACCTCCCCGTCCCCATTACCCCCCCTTTAGTTTATGACCATGTGTCTCAAGTTCTTTAGATTCTATATTTCCCATACTATTCTTGCCCCCCATCTATTTTCTATCTACTGTCTATGCTACTTATTTTCTGCACCTTCTCCCCCCTTCTCCTCCTCCACTCCCCTGTTGCTAACCCTACTTGAGATCTTCATTTCTATGTTTCCACTCCTGATCTAGCTTTCCTTTTAGTTTGCTTTCGTTTTAGGTGTGGTTGTTAATAACTGTGAGTTTGCTGTCCTTTCACTGTTCATGTTTCTTTAACTTCTTTTTCTTAGATAAGTCCCTTTAACATTTCATATATTAAGGGCTTGGTGATGATGAACTCCTTGAATTTGATCTTATCTGAGAAGCACCTTATCTGTCCTTCCATTCTAAATGAAAGCTTTGCTGGATAGAGCAATCTTGGTTGTAGGTCTTTGGATTTCATGACTTGGAATACCTCTTTCCAGCCCCTTCTTGCCTGTAAGGTCTCTTTTGAGAAATCTGCTGACAGTCTGATGGGAACTCCTTTGTAGGTGACTGTCCCCTTATCTCTTGTTGCTTCTAGGATTCTCTCCATTTTAATCTTGGCTAATGTAATGATGATGTGCCTTGGTGTGTTTCTTCTTGGGTCCAACTTCTTTGGGACTCTCTGAGCTTCCTGGATTTCCTGGAAGTCTATTTCCTTTGCCAGAATGGGGAAATTCTCCTTTATTATTTGTTCAAATAAGTTTTCTACTGGTGGCTGTGCCTTTCCCCCTTCTGGTACCCCTATAATTTGGATGTTGGAGCGTTTAAAGATGTCCTGGAGGTTCCTAAGACTCTCCTCATTTCTTTGAATTCTTGCTTCTTGACTCTTTTCTGTTTGGCCATTATTTGCTTTCTTCTGGTCCACTCCATTGATTTGAGTCCCAGTTTCCTTTTCATCGCTATTGGTTTCCTGTGCAATTCCATTCACTTCAATTAGTTTCGCCTTCATATATTTGTCTAATTTGTGGCTATAATCAACCAGTTCTGTGAGGATCCTGATGACCAGTGTTTTAAACTGTGAGTCTGAGAGTTTTGCTATTTCTTCATCGCTTAGATCTATGGGCTCTGGGGCTTTGAGATCTTGCAACATTTTTGGTCTGTTCTGGCCCTTTAAGTGTGAGAAGCGGCGCCTTGGACTCCCAGGTCGCTGGGTTATGACGCTGTATGTGGGGGCGTGGTCAGAGTGGGGAAATGGTGGCCCCCTCTGCTGTTTCTTGCCGCTGGGTGAGGAGCAGAGCCTTACGTGGTTCACCAGGGCTGGGCCACTCAGAATCGCCGGGTTATGACTCTGTGTGTGGAGGTGGGGTCAGAGCAGGGAAATGGCGGTGCCCACCGCTGCAGCTTGCCGTGGGGACCCGCTGGGTCCTGGTCCAATCGCCCACTCCCTCACTTGTCTATCCGCGCACAAACGCGCGACCACAGTGAACCCGCAGCTCTGCTCCCTCGCTGTTTCCCCACGGTCGCTCGCTCGGTCACTTGCTTGGTCTCTCACTAGGTCCAACCCTGTGCTTGGATTCCGCGCGCCTGAGTGTGTCTGGCCGAGTCCTCCTGTGCATCCCCGCTCCACCAGCTGCTGGTTTCGCCCCTTACTGGTCAGACTGAAGAATTTGTTGTCAGCAGACTTCCGAAAAGTTCAATTTTCTGTGTTCTGGCTGTGTTTTCTGTTGCTAATATTTAGTTGTCTCTAAACTTGGTTGTGTGAGAAGGCACCGCGTCTCCACCTATGCCTCCATCTTGGCGGAAGTGTGCTGAATAAATTCTTAATGTAAATATTGCATAAGGCATATTTTACTAAGACAATTCATTATCTGAAATTTAAGTTTAACTGGGCTTTTTATTTGATAAATCTGTAGCTCTAACATTTTTGCACCATTAGCTTCAGAAAGAAATTATAAATGCATAGATGGGAGTGCATTGATTCAATAGTCAATACCCCCTATTTGTTAACAGCAGTAGGGTCTTGTTCTTGAGGAATAGCTCTGTTTCACTTGTGCTGCCCCTCCCCCAGTAGTTTCTTTTCTACCATAATCACATGATGTTTAGATTTATATTTTTGGTGATAAATGATTTAAATACCAGTAAGCAAAAACAAATAAAATTTTGCCAGATATCTAAAAGTAACAAATTTCAGTCTCGAAATGGCATGTACTATTATTTTTCTATAAAAAGTACATTATAACCCTACTTGTTCTAAAGTTACATCATTGACCTCATGAAATTTTCTCAAGCAGTGGACTGTTCTGATGGTAAATAATCTTTGAGGAACTTTTTATGCCTTTTGATTTGCCCCTCTATGAATATAGAAAATGATCAGTATAACCACTATACATATTTTATATTTTAATGTTATATTTTTTCTTTGCTATACAGTCTACTTTCAGTTCTTGAAAAATTTGGTTCTTGACCAATTTGTCCATGGAAAAAATGTCTCAGTTGTCTAACAAATTTCAGGTCTCAACAATATGACAACCCATTCATGCTGATACCTCTATAATCAGTTGTGCATGTCTTAGGCAACAAGCAAAAGAAAATTCGGTTGTTGAACAAATCACTTCTTGAACAGTTTTCTGGAATGAATTAAATCAAAAACTGAGGTTCCACTGTATTTTGAAGAGTCTTAAAATGTTGAGATGATTTTTCATGGAGTATAAATTTTTATTTGTAATTTTTGTAGGTTTTTATTTGTTTGTTTTTTTTTTTTAACCAGGCCAGATCCAGTTTCTTAACTCACTCTGAAATGCCTGGATTTTCTAATTCATTCATTCATTCAATAGTCAATAAAATACTCAGTGCCTTCTATGGCAGGCTGATGTGATCAGTGTTGTTATTCGCAAGTTATGTAGGAGTTAAATCATGTGCAATTGAAGGATAATGTGATGAGAACCTTGAAGTGGTAGAAATGCAATTGAAATTGAGAGGAGGATAGATAGAATGGCAGAACTTTCTGGAGAGGGTGGTATTTAATGCAGGTTGTGGTGATAAAGGTGAGGTTAGGAAGACAGGTTTACAAGAAAGGTGGAAAGAAGCAGGAAAGGGTAGAGAATCCATTATTCAGTTCTACAAAGCATATACTTGGTTGAATTAAAAATTGTTGATAATTTTACAGATAGCTTAAAAAAATTTTTAAAGTATATTCTATCCATTATACTATTACAGTTGTCCCACTTTTTCTCCCCTTCATCCCCCTCGGCCTTGTACCCCCTTCCCTCGAGTATTCTCTGCCCCTTAGTTCATATCCATGGGTTGTACATACAAGTTCTTTGGCTTCTTAATTTCCCATACTATTCTTAACCTCCCCCTTCTATTTTGTACTTATCATTTATGCTTATTCCCTGAACTGTTTCCCCGGTTTTCCCCCTCACCTCCCTACTGATAACCCTCCATGTGATATCTATTTCTGTGTTATTTGCTTAGTTCATTTTTGTTTTTGTTTTTTTTAGGTTTGGTTGTTAATCATTGTGAGTTTGTTGTCATTTTACTGTTCATAGTTTTGATGTTCTTTTTCCTAGGTAAGTCTCTTCAACATTTCATGTAATAAGGGCTTGGTGATGATGAACTCCTTTAACTTGACCTTGTCTGGAAAGCACTTTATCTGCCCATCCAGTCTAAATGATAGCTTTGCTGGATAGAGTAATCTTGGATGTAAGTCCTTGCCTTTCATGACTTCGAATACTTCTTCCAGCTCCTTCTTGCCTGTAATGTTTCTCTTAAGAAATCAGCTTATAGTCTTATGGAACTTCTTTGTAGGTAACTCCTTTCCTCTTGCTGCTTTTAAGATTGTCTCCTTATCTTTAATCTTGGGCAGTTTAATTATGATGTGTCTTGATGTGTTCCTCCTTAGGTCCAATTTCTTTGGGACTCCCTGGGCTTCTTGGACTCCTGGAGTCTATTTCCTTCACCAGATTGGGGACGTTTTCCTTCTTATTTTTTCACATACATTTTCAATTTCTTGCTCTTCCTTTTCTCCTTCTGGTACCCCTATAATTTGTATGTTGGAACATTTAAAGTTGTTCTGGAGGTTCCTAAGCCTTGCCTAATTTTTTGAATTCTCATTTTTTTAGTCTGTTCTGGTTGGATGTTTATTTCTTTCTTCTGTTCCAAATTGTTGATTTGAGTCCCAGTTTTCTTTTCCTTCACTGTTGGTTGCCTGTATATTTTTTTCTTTTTTTAATATTTTATTTATTTATCTTTTAGAGGGGAAGGGAAGGAGAGAGGGAGAGAAACATCAATGTATGGTTGCCTTTCATGCATCCCCTGCTGGGAACTGGCCTGCAGGGAACTGGTCTGCAACCCAGGCATGTGCCCTGACTGGGAATCGAACCTCGATTGTCTGGTTCGCAGGCCCGAGCTCAGTCCACTGAGCTACACCAGCCAGGTATTTTTTTCTTTATTTTATTTTGCATAGCCTTCACTTCTTTGTCTATTTTTCATCTGTAATCATTTCTCTGAACATCCTGATTATCAGTGTTTTGAACTCAGCATCTGATAGGTTGGCTATCTCCTTGATACTTAATTCTTTCTAGAGTTTTGATCTTTTCTTTCATTTGGCGGCTGTTATGTTGTAAGGGGCAGATACTTAGGTATTTGCCTGAGTGGGGTAACACAAGTTGCTGGGTTGTGGTGCTGTATGGGGGGGAGGCGTCAGAGAGGGAACAATGCCATTTGCTTGGCTTCTGCCCTACTTTCAGTTACTTCCCTTGCCACCCACAAGCAAATTGGCCTCTTTTGGTGTAGATTCCCAGGTGGGTGGGTTTGTGTACTTTTAGGACCCCATGAGCCCCTCCAATGGACTCTCTTGTGAGACTGGCAGTTTCTTCAACCCACACAGGTATTTGTAGCCAGTGATTATGAAGCTTTCTTTTCCTACACTGGAACCCTGGGTTCTGCACTCTGTTTTGCTCCCCAGTTCTTTCTCCTTGTTTATCCATACATGAATGTGGGATTGCCTAGTTCACCAGCTGCTGCCTTACTTGCCTGGCCTGCTAGCCACTTCCTTGCCGGGCACCCTCTCTAGGCAGCTTCCTATCTTGGCCCTTCCTACCAATCTGGGTGAATGTTTCTTCTTTAACTCTTTGATTGTCGGACTTCCATAGAGTTCAGTTTTCTGGTAGTTCTCTTTGTTTTTTGTTTTTAAATTGGTTATTATTCTTCTTTTGGTTGTGCAAGGAAATGAACTATATCTACCTACTCTTCCGTCTTCTCTGGAAGCCCCTGTGTACAGGTAGTTTTTTATTCACTGTGATGCTAATTTCTGACCTGTGTATCTATATTAGGAATATCTTCAAATGTCAGTGTAGCCCTTTGGAAAAACATTTATGAAATGTGTTGCACATATAAAAATGTGTAATTTGCTTATTAATAGCTCAAAAATAGGTTGTTACTCATACTGTTGAAACCTGCATGCTACCTTTCTGGTTAGAATTCACTTCCTTTTGTTCTAGAGTCTATTTTCCTAGATATATATATATGGGTCATGTTTTCTTATCTATTCAGCTGCCTTATGTCTTGTGATTGGAACATTTAATCCATTTACTTTTAAGTTTACATTTAAGGCTGTCATCGATAGGTACTTATTTACTACCATTTTATTATTTCTGTCTATGTTCTACTGTCCTCTGCTGCTGCTTCTCCTTCTTTTAAGCAAGCCTTTTAACATTTCTTGCAATACTGTTTTGGCAGTAATGAGCTTCTTTAGCTATTTTGGTGGGGGGACACAAGGAGCAATTCTAGGAAGCTCTTTATTTTGCTTTCAGTTTTAAATATAGCCTTGCTGGATGGAGAAGTCTTGGTTGCAGATTCTGACTTTTCATCACTTTGAGTATTTTATGTCATTCCCTTCTGGCCTGAAGTGTTTCTGTTGAGAAATCAGCTGACAACCATATGGGAGCTACTTTGTAGGTAACTGTCTTTCTCTTGCTGCTGTTAAGATTCTCTGTGTTTAACCTTTGCCATTTTAAGTATGATGTGTCTTGGTGTGGGTTCATCTTGTTTGGGACTCTCTGCTTCATAGACATGTGTATCCTCTTCCTTCAACAGGTTAGGGAAGTTTTCAGTCATTATTTCTTCAAACAGGTTCTAGATCCCTTGCTCACTCTCTTCTTCTGAATCCCATATGATACAGATGTTGTTACACTTGATATTGTCCCAGAGGTCCCTTAGACTTTCCTAATTTTTTAAAATTCTTTTTTCTTTTTGTTGCTCTACTTCGGTGTTTTTTTCTTTTTGTCTAAATCACTGATTTGATCCTCTGCTTCATCTGCACTGCTGTTGATTTTTTTCTAGTGCATTCTTCATTTCAAATATTGTACTCTTGATTTCTGACTGGTTATTTTTTTAGGGTTTTTATATTCTTTTTAATGCTTACTATTTCTTTTAAGTTCTCACTAATATCATTATTCCTGTAAAATTCTTGAGCATCCTTGTATGAGTTGTTTTGAACTCTACATCTGGTATCTTGGTTGCTTCCGTATCATTTAATTCTTTTTCTTTTTTGGGGGGGGTGTTTCTCTTTGTTTTTCATTCAGGGAATATTTCTTTGTCTCCCCATTTTGTGTTTATGTGTTAGGTAGATATGCTACAATTCCCAAACTTGTTTGATGGTTTTATGGTAGGTATCTTGTTGAGCTCAGTGGCACAATCTTTCATATTAATGGAGCTTGGTGATTCAGTAATGTATCTTCTGGCATGTGTGTACCCACCTGTTATGGCTGAGTCTTGAATGCTGTTGGCCCTTTTGTGGGTAGAGTTAACTCTTAAGTCTGGCTGACTATGTAAGACTAAATGTCAATCACCATGTATAAGTTGCTGTGAAGGGGCTTTCCTCTGAAGTAGAGTTGTTCTCAGCAGGGTCTGGTGTCTGCCAGAATTCCCCTTTGGGTGTGATACTTATTTGGCCAGTTCAGTCTGGTGTGTTCTGAAGCCCACAATTGGTTGTGTTAGTTCTGGGTCTGCCTGGGTGGGGTTCAGGTAGAGGTTGATTGTAACCAGCCTTATACTATCTGTCTGGAGCTACTGTGCTATTCACTGTTTGTGGCTGCATCTACTCAGCCTGGGTGTGTGTGTTAGGGGAAAATCTGCATCTGTGTACAAGGGTTGGCTTCGTCCAGTTAAGAGCTTTGGGGCAGATCTATAAAAGATTTTAGGCTTCTTGAGGTCTGTCTTCACGTGTTAGCTACTCTATTCCACCCTGTCATTGCCTGGTCTTACTCCAGAGCATTCTGAAGAAATACTGTAGAATGAGTCCCAGCTGGCTAAGACATACCCTTCCATGTGTTACAAGCTCTGTAGGATATGGCATCCAGGGCTGGGAGGATGGGGCTGGAGGGTCCCCTGCATGGGGGCCATGCAGTCAGGCACTCAATGATGAGAAAGTGGCCCCTACTGCTGAGACAAAACCACTCAATGTCTTCAATGTTTGCTGGAGTCTCCAACTATAGCTCCCTTAGGAGGAGGTACCACAGGTTCAGGTTGGGTGTGGCCAGCCAGCCTCTCTTTTGGTGCAAGCTCAGGAGGGTGGAGTCACTGGGGCTCAGGAGGGCAGATCAGAAGAGTCTCTTATTGGGGGTGGTGCCCGCAGAGCCATGGCAAGGGGCCAGACATTTAGTTTTGGTCTTAGACAGTAGCCTCCAAGGGAAAAACACTCCAAATGTGAATGACCCAGCTCCAGACAGCACTCCATTCCTCCCCACCCCGTGTTGCTGAGCTTAGCAGGCAGGGTCACCAGGACTGGGGAGAGCAGATCCAAACAATGTCCCTTTGGGGTTGATGGCAGTGATCCTGTCAGAGGGGGCAGGCACTTGATCATTTTCCAGGGTAAAAGTGTCCGAAGGAGGCATGCACCAAAGGTCCCAGCTCTGAGCAGCTGTCAGATTCCTCCCACTCCCCCATGGAACTGAACTCAGCAAGGTGAGGCCCCCAGCTGCCAGAAAGGTAGGTCAAATAAGTCTCTGGTTGGGGGAATAAAATGGGCTGAGTTCACAGGGGCGATATAGCCACACAACCCCAGCACCTGCCTATCTGATTCCCAGACAAAAGCCTTCCCAAGATACATGTTCAGCAAGTCCCAGCTCTGCACAGCACTTTGTGCCCCATGCTGGACTGAATTCAGCAGGGCAGGGCTACAGGTAGTGAAAGGGCAGACCAAGTGATTCAGCAGGTTGTGGGTGGAGTGCTGGCTGTGCACTTGAGGTGGGGAAGAATGGTTGGTCCCCTTTCTGAAGCTACATAGTTCATTCACTGTCTGAGTCTCCACTAAGAGGTTCCCCAGAAAAAGAGTGCCTAAAGGACCCTGCTGGGTACAGCCAGCACATGCCTTTTTAGGGCACCCTTTTGTCACTAGTAGTTGGAGGACTGGACAGTGCACTCCCCAGGCTGGTGCACCACCCTGGGAAAGTGGCATCTGGGTCTCTAGCAGACTCCCTTCTCTCCCACGGGTATTGAATTCCCACTAATTTTCACCACCACATGCTATGCAGGCTCCTGTTTCTGTTTTGTTGCTCTGGGTTGGGGACCCCCCCATGGGTTTTGAGACCCCATGCTCCTTGGGGGAGGGAGTTTTGCAGCAGAGATTCCCTCCAGCTTCACAGCCACCACATGTGGATGCAGGATCCATCCCTGTCCATGTCTCTGCCCTTCTTACCAGTTTCTGTGTGGCTTCTTACATAAATCCTTGGTTATAGTATGTTAGTTCAGCTAGCTTTCAGTTGTTTATTCAGGATGATTGCTCTATAATTTAGCTATAAATCTAAGTTTGATGCTGGGAGCAGATGAGTGTGGCTTCCACATACTCTGCAGCCATTTTGGAATTTGTATTTTATTATTCTTGTTTTATTACATTTGTATGAATTAGGCAGATGGAATACTTTATTTGGTAGTTATTTCGTTCATGGCACATGATCACTCTCATGTGGAAGAGCCTTTGGGAAATGATTGACAGCTTGAAACTGCTTGGCTAAGGTTTCTAAAGAAGCTCTGTGCCATAAATGAATTCCTTCTGTGTGACACCGAGGATTAGGTTGCTTTTAGGTGAATTTCTTCAGGATACTTAATGTGGAAGATGGTACTTTATTGCTATAACCTGATTTTTAAGTTAAAATGACCTTTTATGCTGGGAGGCTATATGCTATAAACCTTTAGATTTATTTTGATTTCTTAAAAATTAAATATATTCTCTGGAAGGGTAGCTTTTATATTAGATTGTATCAAAGCACTAAAATTTTGAGGAATTCCTGGGAGTCTTAAGTTGGTTAATTCAGTGGTGATAATGTTAGGAATGTTATAGTACTTACCCAGGTGGCATAGTAATTAAGGATATGGGCTTTGGAGTCAGCTTTAGCACTTAGTATGTGACTGTAGTCTGGGGTTTCTGCATCTATACAGTGGGGATATTAAGTTACACTAGATACTTCATAGGGTGGCTGTGATCATGTGAGGTTTTTTTAAGTTGTTGAAACTGAAAATATTTTTCTCTTTTATCATAAGACTTAAAATTGTGTCAATTCTGTTACTAGCACAGCATTTTATATAACTTGGAACTTGGTATAGTTCTGAGGGTATTAGACTTCAGAGTTAGGAAATGTGAGTTGCACTCCTGACTTTATGAGTAACTGCTTAACTCTGGCAAGCAGCCTTGCATCATCTCTCTCTGCCTAGTTTGAGTCATTTATAAAAGTGGGGTTGGGTTTGAATCAGTTGATCTCTAAGATTCCTTCTAGTTCTTCCATTCTGTTTATTTGTCTCCCACTGAATCATAATTGAACTAATTATAACACAGTTCATGAGGAGAGCACATTTTACAATCTGGAGAGGAAATGGTTTGGGGTGGGGAGGGTAAGATAATTGTACAGAAACATTAAAGGCTGATACTTTGAGAATAATTAGATTTTTTTTTACCTGATTCTAATCTAGGGTGAAATGAACAACAATAGATGGAAGGGAGGCAGTCTTGATTCAGTTTATGGACACATTTCTAAAACTTACTCCTGTCCAACAAAGAAATGGGTCACTCTAAGTGCTCTATGCTTCCTAAACACTGAAAGGACAAAGTTTAAGGTCATACTGGCAAATGATTGTTAGAGTCAGGTCTAACTTATTTAAGCCTGAGCTAGGGATGGTGTTGTATGACTTTTCTGATCTTCTGGCCCTCCAGTGGGTAGAAATTATGACATGATAAGTATTAAAGTAATCAAGAAAAAAACCATATGCAGTGTGTCACCGTACTCACTAACTTTAACTGAATTATACTAATGATTCATATACTACTTTTTTAAAAAGAATTATTTTATTTACTTTTACACAGGGGAAGAGAGGGAGAGAAACATCATTGTGTGGTTGCCTTTCCTTCACCCCCAACTGGGGACCTGGCGTGCAACCCAGGCATGTGTCCTGACTGGGAATGGAACTGGCAACCCTTTGGTTTGCAGGCCAGTGCTCAGTCCACTGAGTCACACCAGTTTGGGCCATAGACTACTTTTTTTTTGTCTGCAATTTTTTTTGGTTGATGTGTAGACTAAGTATTACTCTGAATTTTAAAAACATTGCTCTTAATTCTAGATTTTGATTATTCATCTGGGGAAAGCAGCACTATTACTCTTTTTTGTTTTGAATGATTTTTGAATGCTTGCCACTTTCCTTTCAGCAAAGCTGGAAACTGTGAGTTTGAGTTCTTAGGTCCTGTTGAGATATGCAGCTAAATTTGTCATCCACTATGTGGGTGCTTTGCCAACATCTCTGGAGATGTTTACCAGTCTGGGCAATTTTGATAATACTATCTTCTTATAGTTTCTGCTGTGAAGCAGTTTTTGAAGAAACATGATAGGTGGGGTACAAACTCTTGGAGAAAAAGATGTTTTTATTTTTGTTAAATTACAATGTTCTCTTTCCTAATTCCTGACATAGAATTTTGGCCACCAAAGGAACAATTTTGTTACCCTTTCTTAGCATCTGGTTGAGGAGGGATGTGTATGCCTGTGTGTATGTGTATTTCCTAAATTACTTCAGGCCTCCTTTACATAATGGGCTTCCTATTCCTGAATAGGGATTAGACTCCAGTATACTAGTTTATAAAACAGTTTATGACAGGCTTCTCAACCTTAGCACTGTTGACATTTGGTGCTAGATAATTCTTTGTTGTGGGGCTGTCCTGTGCATTGTAGTATGTTTAGCAGCATCCCTGCCTCTTCCTACTAGTGCCAGTAGTAACCCCATAGTTATGCCAACCAAAAAGCTCCAAAACATTGTCGAAACTACCCTGGGCAATAAAATCACCCAAGTTGAGAACCACTGAGTCATGGATACCTCTCAGCCAGCTCTCTGCCACAGTTATGGCCATCCTGCTGTTGTCTGGTTTCTGCATGTTGCCAGCCTTGCTCACAGCCTCGTCCCCATGCTCTGCTAATTAGGTGGAAAGTTGCCAAGTGGAAGGTGGAATCAGTGGGGAACAGAGCAGAGCTAGAGTTAGGTGTTGGCTTGGGTAGCGGCTGAGTACTGTAACACCCAGGTGGGTGTGTTTTTTGGTGGCAGCTAATGATTAGACTTAAAGACAGATGTTCTTTGACATGAGAGTGAGCTGACAGTTACTCCAGTAGTCTTAGCACACAACAGGTATGTGGCATCTTTATGTTGTCTGAAGCCTGCCTGGGAGTTTGTGGTTTTGAAGGAAAACTTCAGGGATGTTTTCTCCTTACTGTTTTTATTTGAAAGACTATGGAAAAGAGAAACTGCTTCTTGATGAACTTCAGTGTTCAATTTTGATTTCATTTTTAAGGTTACTTTAGTGGTTATATAATCAATACTTTTTTTCACATGGATAAAATGAGGTGGGAGAATTATAAATATAAAGCAACAGATATTTAGTGAGTGCAACCAGGGATGATACTGTGCTGTAAGAAATGCTTGGAGTGCTCAGGGAGTGAGGTAGGTAACTGCTCATGACGCACTGTGTTAAGAATGGTAACTCTGTCTTGGGTGGGGGCAAGTGGTGAGGGATGGGCAAGAAGATAGATAAACATGACTTGGAACAGGTGTTCATAGTACTTGTTTGTATTCATTTTCAAACAATCAGTGTTTGTCATTAGTACTTTTATTCTGGGCTTTAAATATTTTTTTTTTACCTAGTCCAGGTCATTTTGAATGCTTGTTTATTTTATAAACTTTATTCTCTTAACATTTATTGCATAATAATTCCCATCTTAATAACTTACTAAATAATTGCATCTTATGGTTATATTCTAATTTACTTAACTGTTTCTCTGTTGTTTTTACTGGTATATAGTGTATTTAAAAACATTTGCTACTGTAAATATCTTTTAGTGGCTATCTTTGCGTATATATTTTAAACCACAGTTCAAATAATTCCTTTAGAATAATGTCATGAATTAGAATTACTGGGTGACATGATATGTCAGTTGTTTAAATTAAATTTACCGAGGTGACATTAGTTAGTGGAATCATACAGGTTTCAAGGATATAATTCTGTAATACATAATCTGCTTTTGCATTGTGTGTTTACCACCCACAGGTAAAACTCCTCCTTTCATCATATATTTGACCACCTTCACCATTTATTTTTAAGGCTCTTGATTCATGTTACTAAACTGCTTTACTGAAATCAGAATTAACACTTCTACTGCAAATTGTTGACTGACCCCTTTGCTGTCCTTGTCAAAGTTGAGTGCTATTAAAAAAGAAAATAAGTGATTTAACAGGTGGGAAACATTTTTGTTTTTGCCTGTTTAAATTATTGGTACATTTGATATTTTACTGTTTTTCTTTTTCCTTGAAAGGTTCATTAATTTCTTTTGTAAATTGGCTGTGCATGTGTTTTTCCCATTGATCATTTGGAGTGTTACTGCTTTTTTTCTCATTCCTTTACACACACACACACACACACACACACACACACACGTACTATTTTTATTTTTACTTTATTTTTTATTACTTTTTAATTATAGTTTACATTCAATATTATATTAGTTCAGAAGTACAGCATAGTGGTTAGATAATAATATACTTTACAAAGTGTTCTCCCTGATATTTCTAGTACCTGCCTGGCACCACACACACATAGTTATTACAGTATTATTGCCTTTATATCCTATGCTGTACTTAACATCTCATGACTATTTTACTACCACCAATCTGTACTTCTTAATCCATTCACATTTTTAATCTAGTTCTCAAACACCCCTCCCCCCTAGCAGTTGTCAGTGTATTCTCTGATTTATGAGTTTGTTTCAATTTTGATCTGTAGATTTCACAAAATTAAGTGAAATTGTAAGATATTTGTCTTTTGTATCTGATTTATTTTACCTAGCATAACACCCTCTAGGTCCGTTCACACATCAGTAAGTGGTAAGATTTAATTATTATTATTATTTTTTTACAGTTAAGTAATACTCCATTTTATATATGTACTACAACTTTTGTTTTGTTCAACTACAATTTTTTTAAAATATTTTATTTATTTATCTTTAGAGGGGAAGGGAAGGAGAGAGAGAGAGAGAGAGAGAAATATCAGTGTATGGTTGCCTTTTGTGCATCTCCTGCTGGGAACTGGCCTGCAACCCAGGCATGTGCCCTGACTGGGAATCAAACTGCGATCCTTTGGTTTGCAGGCCCACGCTCAATCCACTGAACTTCAACAGCCAGGGCCATGTACAGTTTTGTTCAAGTATTGTTCAAGTACAGTTGTGTCCATTTTCACCCCACCACACCACCCCGCTCTACCCATTCCTGCCTCCTACCCTTGAACCTACCATCTTTGCCTTTGTCCATGTGTCCTTTATACATGTCCTAGATGGCCTTTTCCCTGTTTTCCCTCATTATTTCTCTCCCACCGCACCTCTGGTTCTTCTTTCTCAGAATTGCTGTGGGTCTTTGGGGTCATTTATGATTCCGTATAAACTTTTGAAAAGTTTGTTCTATATCTGTGAAATTTGGTATTTTAATAGGGGTTGTGTTGAATCTGTAAATTGTTTTGGGTAGTATGGACAGTTTGATGATGTTAATTCTTTCAATCCATGAACATGGTATATGCTTCCATTTATTTGTGTCTTCCTTAATTTCTCTTTTTAGAATTGTATGATTTTCTGAGCACAATTTTTTTTACCTGCTTGGCAATGTTTATTCCTAGGTACTTTATTTTTTTTTTTGCCATGTCAAATGGGATTTTTTCCTGATTTCTGAGTCTGATATTTTGTTGTTGGTATATAAAGATGATCTTAAATCCTGCTGTTTTGCCAAAATTCACTTATTAGGTCAAGTAGTTTTTTGGTGGAGTCTATAGGGTTTTCTTCCCCCCCCCAAGATTTTATTTATCTTTGGAGGGGAAGGGAAGAAGAGAGGGAGAGAAATATCAATGTATGGTCGCCTCTTGTGCGTCCCCTGCTGGGAAGTGGCCTGCGACCCAGGCATGTGCCCTGACTGGGAATTGAACCGTGGTTGTTTGGTTCACAGGCACTCACTCAATCCACTGAGCTACACCAGCCAGGGTGAGTCTACAGGGTTTTCTAAGTACACTATCAAATCATCTGCAAACAATGATAGTTTTACTTCCTTCTTTCCAATTTGGATGCCTTTTATTTCTTTCCTTGTTTGATTGCTGTGGTTAAAACTTCCAATACTATATTGAATAGAAGTGGTGAAAATGGACAACCTTGTCTTCTTCCTGACCTCAGTGGAAAAGCTTTTAGTTTTTTCCCATTGAGTATGATGTTGGCTGTAGGTCTCTCATATATGGCCTTTATTGTGTTGAGGAATGCTCCCTGTACTCCCACTTTGCTGAGTGTTTTTATTATAAATGGGTGTTGTACATTATCAAATGGTTTTTCTACACCTATTGATATGATCATGTGATTTTTGTCTTTCCTTTGTTTATGTGATGTATTACATTTGTTGTTTTGAGAATATTTTACCATCCATGCATCCCTGGCATGAATCCCACTTGGTCATGGTGTATGATCTTTTTCATGTATTGTTGGATGTGGTTTGGCAGTATTTTGTTGAGGATTTTAACGTCTATTTTCATTAGTGATATTGGCCTGAAGTTTTCTTTGTTTCTTCTTCATCTGGTTTTGGAATTAGAATGATACTGGCTTCATAAAAAGAGTTTGTGAGCCTTCCATCTTTTTGGGTTTTTTGAAGTAATCTGAGAAGATAAGGGTTAGTTAGCTCTTCCCTAAATGTTTTGAAAAAGTCTCCTGTGAAACTCTGTAGTCCAGTGCTTTTGTGCGATGGGAGTTTTTTTATTACTGTTTTGGTTTTATCAGCGTTTATTGGTTTGTTCAGGCTTTCTGTATCTTCTTTGTTCGATTTTGGGAGATTATATTCTCTTGATATTTGCCCATTTCACCTTGGTTTTCAAATATCTTGGCATATAGTTGTTAATAGCTTTTTTTTCACAATCCTTTGTATTTTTCTGGTGTCAGTTGTAATCTCTCCTCTTTTGCTTCTGATTTTTTATATTTGGGCCTTCTTTTTTTCTTGAGGAGTCTGCTTAAAAGATGGTTGATTTTGTTTATCTTTTCAAAGTACCACTCCTGGATTTATTGATTTTTGGATTGTTCTTTTACTCTCTTATGTCATTTAATTCTGCTGTGATCTTGGTTATTTCTTTCCTTCACCTCCTTCTGGGCTTTGTTGTTGTTCCTCCAGGTCTTGCAGATATAAGGGTAAGTTGTTATTGGAAATATTTATGTCTCTTTTAGGTAGGCTTGTATTGCTGTGACCTTTCCTCTCAGGACTGCATTTGGGGTGTCCCATAAATTTTGGTTTGTTGTGTGCTCATTTTCAGAAACTTTTTGATTTCTTCCTTGATCTCATTATTAACCCATTGATTGTTTAAAAGCATGCTGTTAAAATAGCATGCTATTTTGTCTGATATGAGTATTGCTACCTTGACTTTTTTCCTTCCCCATTTGCTTGGGATATTTGTTTCCAGCCCTTTACTTTCAGTCTGTGCAGGTCTTTTGTTCTGAGGTGAGTTTCTTGAAGGCAGCATGTGTGTTGGTCATGTTTTCTTATCCATTCAGCTATTCTATGTCTTTTGATTGGGGTATTTATTCCATTTATGTTTAAGGTTATTATCGATAGGTACTTATTGATTGCAATATTTTTGTATCTGTGTTTTTTTCTCTCTCACTATTTTTCTTCCTTTTCTTAAAGCAGACCCTATAGCAACTCTTGCAGTGCTGGTTTGGAGGAGGCATATTCTTTGAGGCTTCTTTTGTCTGTGAAGCTCCTTATTTGATCTTCCATTTTTGTTGAAAGCCTTGCTGGATAAAGTAGTCTTGGTTGCAGGCCTTTGTTTTTCATTACTTGGAATATTTCCTGCCATTCTTTTCTGGCTTGGAGCGTTTCTATTGAGAAGTCAGCTGCTAACCTTATCAGGGGTCTCTTGTGTGTTACTTCCTGTTTTTCCTTTGATGCTTTTAAGATTCTGTCTTGGGATTTTGCCATTTTAATTATGACGTGTCTTGAAGTGGGCCTCTTCGGGTTCCTCTTGATTGAGACTCTCTGTGCTTCCTGGCCTTGTGTGACTTTTTCTCTCATCAAATTAGGGAAGTTTTCCATCATTACTTTTTCAAACAGGTTTTCTATCCCTT